ACTTAACAATGACTAATTAACATATATACACATATACATTTTAAATAACTCAGAACCGTAGGGAACAAAGAACAAGAGAAACAATGATATTAACAGACTAAAGAGTTGGAATTCTCTCACAAAAATGTTGACTTGAGGAGAGCAGTTCACTAAGTCTGCAGCCTGAGGTGGTTGAGAGGAACTGGCTAGAACTGGACCGCATGATGCAAAAGAGCGCAAAAGCTGTGAGACGTCTCCACACATGCGCAGTCTGGCCAACTACTGCTATGAAAAGTCTCCGATCTGCCGCGCTGGTGCAAGCCCAGCACCTACAGTGGAGCACCCACGGGGACATTACTCAAAGAAGAACTTTTGTTGTCAGAAGGACACCATGGTGCAACGAAGTTTGAGAAGCCCTGCTCTAATTTCACAACGGAGACTCTGGTTGCCAGTAATATTGCATGGCATCACCATGTATAGACAGTGACTCTGATTTGTAGGAGTCACAAACAACATGACCTTGGAGAAGCAGGCAGGCCAAAGCTATCATTATAATCTGCTAATTAGCTCTTTAAAATGTCCTTCTTAAAACTCTGGGGTTCCTTAGGTCTGCTTTACTTTCACTAGCTTGACCTAAACTTGGCAATGAGGTGACTGAGCAGAATGAGACATCCTTATTAAGCAACAACTACCTAAGTACAATTTGCCTAACTGGTCCCATATGAATATTAGCGCTGATGCTTTTTCCATCTGTGATGGGCTCACTTATGGCCTTCAAAAGAAATGAAAATCCATCAAGTTTATTAAGAGCAGACTTGCATTTTCTCTGTAAAAAGACTACCAAGAACCAACTAAAATACTGAAGAAAATCTCTGCTGAGAAGTTAATCATAGTAGCTAAGAGCAATTTTTCTCACTGCAGGAAACTGACCTCCCATGAGCTCAGGATTATGGCTCTGAGAATTACTGAAGACAGAAGGAGGTATTTTATTAAAAGGACAAATGCGAAGGGGGCTGCAGATCCTTTACATGACCAGACGGTGCCAGAAGGAATAAGGCTGCTCTGTGTTTGTAATGAATATGCTGCATGGAGACTTCATCTTCCCGTAGGCAAAACATTTCAAAATGCTGTTGGGCCTAGAACACTGGATAGCAAAAATAACCTTTAAAATATATAAACATTTAGAGGGCCTGAGCATCACCTGTAATATTGAAGAAACAGGAAAGAATCAATGGAAAGAGCTACAGCCACTTACAATACAATAAGAAGGCAGAGGGTGCTTTTACCTGTAGCAACAGGAACAGGAGCAAAACTGAAGAGGTGATAAACAGGTATGTGCTTCCTTAAAGTAGGCACGGTTGGGACCTCATTGATTGACATTGTTTCTCTAGGAAATGCACACCTCTGTTAGTGCCCTACTTCCTACTGACTTATAATAATGCTCAGGGTTCACCACACCCACAGGGCCAGAGTGCAGTGTTCCAGGCCCTCTCTCTATGGTAAGTAATGGGGGAGCGGTAGACACAACTGTCAGGTTTATACTAGGGTCCCTTATTGTTCCTTTATTTAGACTAACTTTCCAGCTGTCTTACCCAGCAGCACAAAACAAGGTTTGGCCATTTTTTTTAAACGTCCCTCTCACCCCACAAACCTTCATCTATTGTTACCGTGATTTATCTTCACTGCATCTGTACAGATTGACTACTCAGAGGAAAGTCTAAACATTTCTGTTACTCTTTCTGGCTCTTATTTGGGTCTAGGATTCTATGAAAAGCTAATATACCATTTAAGCAATGTTCCAAAAAGGTAGCCCCAAATTACATCTGCCTGGCATTTTTAGAAATAGCCCATGGTTGGGCTTCTTTAAGAATCTCCCTCTCAAAATATTTCACTCAAGGTCTCCCAGCTTTTACACAGACATATAAATCAACACCACTTAAATACAGTATTTGAAGATTAAAGAGCTATGTAAGACTCCTCAAACGACTAAAAACCAAAGGAGGGAGAGGAAAGGAATTCACAACAGCAGTATCAGACTCCCACATACAGCAAGTGTTTCATTTCTTAAATGTTGCTTACAATGGCCCGGTGAAGGACTCTGATAAAAGGCTTCTGCCTTTTATAGCAGAGAGTAATAATAAGCAACATATGCTTTACAAACAAGGAAGGCACTGTGCTCCCAGAGGGAAACTGAGTGGTGCATCTTCATACTGGCTAATATGGCAATGGATCATCTGCCTGAAATAAAAGTTAAAAACATGAAGAGGAGAAATACAGTAGGTTGGGATAACAATCAGGTCTCAGCTGGTTCAGGTTTTACATGCACACCAAAACAGCAGGAGAGGGGAAATAATGAGGGCAAGAGGAGTCTGAAGTAATGAGGAGAAATATCAGGTGTGTCTATCTGCCTGGAGGCTAGAAGAAGGAAGATATTAAACTGTGCTTTCTGGTAAATTGCCACTGCCAGTTATTGACAAAGCTGTCAATTATACAAGACTATTTAGATTGATGAAGGTGGAGGGAATGTGGATTTAGAGACACATGGGATTATGGGAAGGGTAGAAATGAGTTGCAGATGATAAATAGACTGGACTTCAAAGGAAAGGAGCAAACAGGCCAGCTAGCTAGTGTATCATTAAATATCCTTAATTTGCAGGTTAGAACAGGGTAATATAATCACACAAACCCCTTCAAAGTCAAATTTCAGAAAGTAAATCTTATGGAATCAGAAAACGGAGAGTACATGGCCTGGAAGACAGAGTCTTAGCAAAAAAACAAGACAGCTGTATGTAGCAGGACTGCTGGCATGGTACTCGCTCAGGGAATATAATCTTTGCGTTACATCCATGTTTAAATAACTTATTTGAAAATGCAGTTCTGCAGTAGCTGGCCAGCTCTGTAACTGCTAAAATACTATTTGGCACATGATTGTCTGACATATCTGATACCTGTCAACTAGTAGGAGAGAAAAAATGAGTATTTACTCAAGTGCATGCCTAACTTTAAGCAGGTATTCAGTCTTATAGCTTAAATGCTCATCTGAAATGGGGACAGACACGGTTAATCCTGGATAGTAGCAGCTGTGCAAATTTTACAAGCTGCTTCAAAGACATGTTGGGACAGTATTTATAAAGTCTGTAAAGTCCTTGAATGAACAATTTTATAGAAATGTAAAGTGTTACCCTTTTGAAGAATTTACCCTGCTTAGGGACGGTTAGGGAAGGATTGCCACTCCTCCGCCTCCCAAGGGTAATGGAAGGTGTTTAATTTTGGTAAAGTGGGTATCATTTCTTTTTTCACACACAAAGTTTGATACTGCAAGGGGAATAGTGATAGAGATGCAGCCGTGTCTTTTGATACTGCAAGAGGCTTTCATCTATGAGAAAAGGTGCACCCACACTTCAATGTACAGTATGTATAATACTGATTTCTAAAATTTGTAATTTCATTTACTCATGCCAAAGACATTTTCTATTTACAGAACAAGTACGGGGTAGGTAGCCACAGTGCAAGCTCTCCCACACCCTCATCATGGGCATCTCAATCTTCGGCAGAAGACAGCAGTGTTAGGGAAAAGCGAATTTAATTTCCATGCCTCTGCTGAGATGAGGTGTCATTTGTCATGGCTCTGAGACACTAGGACCTGCACCAAGGCTGTCAAATATTCTGCAGTTGTGTGGGGCTGAGAGCCTGGTAGGTGTTAAGTACACACAAACAAGGAGATACAGAAGGAAAGGAGGAAATGGATCAAAGATCGGGGCAGAATGCTCATTTCCCAAGAACTAATAATCTTCCCTGCTGGATAGGGCAAGTCTGACTAACATCAGTGATCAACATGTCAGTAAGTGTCAGGCCCATATTACATAAACTGGAGTGCGGTAACTAAGGCACCTTTGCTATATTCAAGGCATAGAAGGCAGAGACTGAATGATTGGGAAGAAACAATGCAGAATGCCAGCTTGAGGAGTTCAGGACACATTAATTCTCCACAGTAGAAGCTGCTGACGCTCTTAGGACAGAATAAATGTATCTTTCAGAAAAAAAGTATGGAGGCTTATGTTGCCTAAAGCTGCAGTGAGATATCTGTTAAAAGATCAATCGTGTATATATTAATGGATTTGATCTCCTTCCAAGACTAAACACACCTTTGGGGACATAAAGTGGTAAAAAAAAATGTAACATGTTAAATGTGGAATTTTGAAATAATGGTGTAGATCTGCTGCCTGGGGAGAATTTGGTCCCTCTTTTAAAACAGCATGTATGTAGCTACCTGCAACTGGAGAAAATCATATAACCAAGATGTAAATCACTACTGCAAAGTTTTTTGTGATAGAGTTCTTTCTCTGATGGAAAACTCAGACATAATACATTTAGCAAGATAAGTAGCTGAGAGTTATGCAGAGGGAACTCCCTAATTTCTTTCTAGGTAGGGCATTTCCACTTCACTCTAGCAAGTACTTAGCAGCACCCAGAACATAAGTATGTATCACTGAGGACTACAGATGAAAGCAAACATGTATCTGTTTTAAATTTCCCCTTGAAGAAGCCTGTGATGGACAAAGTAGTGGAGCAACAAGAAGCATCAATGTAAAGCTAAGGAGTAGAATGCCAACTGGGCTAGGAAAAAAGCAAATGATCTCAGCTGAAATGACACAGTGTGACAGGACTGCAATGTGGGAAATGAGGAGATGTATGTCGAACAGTAAATATATGGCCAGCAGCCTGAGGAAGCAAAACATGAACTCAGCAGTATATCATATTTACAGCCTTTATTCCTGTAGCAACTAACCTTAGTAGCACATACATAGAAACATCCTGACAGAACCATTAGCAATATCCTTTTACATTGCTAAAAATGGAAGGGGGTGGGAGAGACTGTTAAGGTGAAAAGCAGTTTTTTATCATAGAAAATTGAAACTTGAGATGTGTAGCTTGTTGCATTATGCACAGCAGGCAAACCTTATTAAAATAATAGAACTGTATTTAAAATGTGGATTTTTTCCAGTGAAAAACACAGAACATTAGTAGGGTTTTAGACCTGTTTATTGACTTTTAGGCATTAAAATTACAAAATCACATTTACACGTTACAGCTGTTGGAGAGAAACAAAGTAGAAAATAATACAATCTAACCCATTACAGCTGCAACCTAGAAGGATTGCTAAAGCAGCTCCATACAGTGACACCATATATATTAGTGGGGAACACAAGCTTGCAGTCCAGTACTTTGTCAAGAGTTATTAAGACGTTACATCTACTTTTCCCATTTCATCTCATGTACAATCTTTGCTCTCTGTACCATCATCCCAGGTTAAGACTTAATTTCTATGGGCTAGAAACTGATTCTTGAACACATCTAATTTATTTAGATCAACACAAGATCATCAATTTTATTTTGTTCTTGGTAAGACTGTCTAAAAAACACAATTATGTTTTACTAATGAAGTCACAGCCAAAAAAATCCACTCTTATTGAAAATACAAAAAAAGTTGATAAAGTTTAATGCTCAGTGTTTTTTTATTAAAACAAAACAAATAGCTAAATTTCACACATAAGGTAAAGATACCACTTTTGATCATTCTATTAGAAGTTCTACCTTTATTAGGCATTCTTTGATTATAGATTCCTAGTGACTCAAAGCAAGCTTAAATACTGTATCAGTTTCTCATATTGCAGGCTCAAATTATTCTGATTATTTAAGGGGAAAAAGTTCTGCTCCTATGTAAATCCAGGGCAATGCCACTGGCATCAAAGGCATTATTCTGGATTTACAGTGGTGTAGATACAAGTAGAACTGCACCCTAGGCATGCCACTATACATTGCACTGATTGCCCTTTTAGACTCTCTCATCTAAACTGATTTTTCATTCTGCACCATATTTCTCTTGACATTGTTCCAGTGCTTTATCATAAGCCTGTCACTCCAAGCCTTTTACTTTGTGAACCAAAAATAATTATGCCTGCATTCAAAAACACTGCCCAAATACTCATCAGGGCTGGATTTATGCGTCAGATGCTATTTTGAAGATAACTCTGGACAAAGAGCCCATGAAGTCATGCTGAATTCATGATGTAGATTCAGCTATCAGTCAGGGTAAAATGGCTTTCCTATCCAGTGATAAATCCTGCTTCAGCTTCTAGTCTGGGCCTCACTCTTGTGGGATTATTTAAACCAAAATTCAGAATAGGGAATAATAGGGAAGAGATTCATAATTTACAATGTAGTTAAATGTATCAATACATTTACACAAAATAATCTTTGTTTCTCTTAATGTATGCCCTCATTTAAGGATGTGCTTCCTCCTCTTTACATGAAATGAAAGATTAAGACATTTTTCCAGTGCCTGCTTTTGTTTTGTCTCAACTGGTAGCTTCTTTTTTCAGTTTTTCTAAAACCTCATCTGGAGTCATCGACACCAAAATCTTCACCACTTTTTCCCGAGATTTACCACCCTGTTTCAACACAAAAATGAATTCAGAGAACTATTTCTTTGCTTCCAAGTACACAGTTTAAAACTATCCAGTCAGTCACAATAGTGGGTACTTTGTAAACAGTACTAATCTTATACCCAACCAACAATAGTGAAAAAAGGTTATTTACCAGTAACTCTAGTCAGTTATTTCCTCGGTATAGTCACATTTGTGAAACATTCTCTAGTGCAACAGGGCTTCAGAGACTTTATGGAAAGTGTGTGCACCCTCTTGTGACACCACACTTTCTAAGTTGAGGGTTATAGGAGGGCCATGTAGTTGCAGCAGCCACAACTTCCATCACCAGAGCTCTCAGAGGATGATGGACAGTTAGTAAAAAACGCCACAAAAAGCACTCTCAAAGTACTAGATTTTATTGCTAAGTAACATTTTTCTTCTTCAAGGTGCTGCTGCCTGACTTATGCAAGTCTAACAAGCAGCAGACTGGGGTGTGCAATTCAACAAGAATGGCAGAACTACTCTTCTCTTCTGAAATAAACATTGAATCTAGATGACTAAGTGTTCTAAGTAAATGTGTGAATGACATGCAGGCAGTAGCTCTGCAATGTCTAAGATTTTTCTAATGTTACAGAAGCAGGCCTTGGATGCCAGCTTGGCCTTAGCAGAACAAACTTCAAGACAGGCTTTAAAAACCCACTTATGTGCTTATCCAGGGAGAGAAGATTTTCTTTCTGGGTAAAGGGGGCTGAATAGGCACAGGGACCCAATGTCATTGTTAGTTATTCCGAAGATGGGAAGGAGCAGAGTTGCTGCATCTGTTACATATTTTGAAGCAAGCAGGCAGGCTTTTTAGAGTGAGAAATAGGATGATCTCCAAAAGCTCAGCAATGCATCCTGCATGTGGGACTATGCAGATGTCACCTACAGATGCATATACTGAAATACCTGAGTTTATTTTTACCCTGAGGCTAGGGTGGCCAGATGTATGGCATTCAACTGGAATGCCTGGTCAAAAATGGAACCTGATGACTCTGGTCAGCATTGCTGACTGGGCTATTAAAAGTCTGGTTGGTGGCCCCGTGGGGCTGCCTAAAGGCCAGCTCCCTCTCTGCTGCTCTGGCTTTGTGTAGTTCCAACTAAACATCCAGCAGGTCCCTGCAGCTCCTAGGCATACATGGGGGCCAGAAAGACTCCACACACTGCCTCCACCCCGAGCATCAGCTCCATAGCTCCCAGAGGCTGGAAACCACAGCCCTAGGCAAAGCTCTCATGCCTCACCTCCCTGCATCTCAACCCGTTGCCCCAACCCTGAGAGCCTCCAAACCCTTAATCGCTGGCCCAATGCTAGAGCCCACACCTCCAGCCAGAGCCTTACCCCCTTCCATGTCCCAATCTGGTGAAAGTGAGGAAGCAAAAGGGAAGATAGAGGAAAGGGGGAGGGCCTCCGGGAAGGCACAGGACAAATGTTTGGTTTTGTACCATTAGAAAGCTAGAAACCCTACTTTGAGAATATACTTCACATATACTTGTTGCTTTGCATCTAAATTCTCAGTTTGATATATAAAAAAGAACTGCATTGTATGAAATATAGAAACAAGCTAGGTTGTTTGTGTGTAACTGCTGCCTTAAATCAGAGCAGTTAAGTTGTGTGCATTATTCACATCCTTTCTGTACAAATGCATTGAATAGCTCATGCCAAGTTAAAATTTATTACAGGTGTACACATAGAGCTCTCGTCACTATCTTGTAAACAACTAAAAAAGTAACCATGCGAAAAGAACACAATCTCATGACATCTTTAGTATGAAATTTTGTTTTTACATTTCTAAGGTGCTTGTCCTTTTGACTTTGATGAGGCATTATTTAAATAATAGAATCATAGAACACTAGGACTGGAAGGGACCTCGAAAGGTCCTCGAGTCCAGTCCCCTGCCCTCATGGCAGGACCCAGTATTAATAGTTTGGCCAACAGATGTTTATTTTTTATAAAGATTCTAAATCTTGTATAAAAGTTCAATTGAAAGTACAAATTAGCAGTTTTCCATCTTAAAGAGACTGCCCACAAATCTACTGAGTACAATTTCTTCCTGTATGTTAAGATAATCACTGTTGAGAAACTGAAAGCAGTTTCTCAAGTTGTGGCTTAGCCATGGGGAGTTATAGGATAAAAGTTCTGTTTAAGGTAAGACAAATAAGGGCAACAAATGTACTTCTGCATTTTCAATTTTAGCTTGGACCTACTTTTCCAGCTAAGAATGATTATACAATAGCTGAGAGGTAAGAGAATGCTAGGAAGCAATCTCTCTCTTTTCGTCTCTTGGCGATCACTTAATATTGAGTAGGATGTCTTCCTGTCACCCTCCTATTTGTGGATCCGTTGATGGCTGACCAGCCCGATTCTGGAGCCACACATCTAATCACAGAAGGAGCAGGTGCTGGTGGCTATTGGAGAAACATGGGGCAGTTTTTGCTGCTCTTTTCTTCTTCTCTGCCTCTCCTCGTCTGTGCTGCGGAGGGACCTCTCAAATTGCTCCACCCCCCTCACAGTTTACCGTTCTCCCAAGTGTTGACACCGATGCCATACTGCTTCATGTTTGCCTTCAACATGTCCTTAAATCGCTTCCTCTGGCCCCCAGCGCTTCTTCATCCTTCCTTCAGCTCAGAAAACAGTACTTAGGTAGCAGTATTCATATGGCATTAGCCTGTTCACATAGGTTGAAAATCTGGCTGAAGTCACAAGACCAACACACTTCATAACTTAGACACAGTTCAGAATGATTGAAGGTCTGTGGCTGACAAGTCCAAATATAAAATAGCCTGAGTGCTGCAGGCCAGACTAGAATTACCAGAGATGACTGGAAAAGGTTGAACAGTGCTGCTCCTCATTATGCCTGATGCTGCTTAGCAATTATATAGTGCTTTTCAAGTGTAATCTAATTAATCCTCAACATGGCTCTGTGGTAGATAAACAAGTGTTATCCTCTTTTATGGATGGGATAAACTGAAATAAAGGTTAAGTATCTTGTCCAGCCTGCAGCAAAGCCAAGATATAAATCTTGGAGTTTCTATCTATCAGCCAAGTAGTGCTCAGTCCATTAGACAATGTAGCTTCTAATAGCTATTTAAAAAAAATCTTATGTATTTAGGTTTAAATACAACATAAAAAAGCATCCATTCCAGGCACTCTCTTTATCTTCATGACACTATAAATGAATACATTTAGTTGATAGCTCATTCTCCATCCACTTTTCATACAAGACTAACTGGCAGTCTTCTCAAAACAGGACACAGACTTTTCTATTTCCTCTCAATGTCCTATCTGTTGCTGCTACCCTAACTGAACAGTTCATTATTGGGTGGTAGAACAATAATCTTCCTAGCATGACTGCAACAGAAGTTAACCTCAATTCTACTATTTGCTATTTTCTTAATTTATTTGTATACTGAAGTTCTACTGCCTACAATGGGTTAAGATTCAATATTTGTTGTTTTCAAAAGATAATGAATTTAATCTTTTCAGTCACAAACATCTACATCAATATGTAATTCATAGAGTAGTGGTTCCCAACCTTTTTTATACAGTAAAACTGCATTGGTCTGGCATCCAATGCTCCGGCACTCCTGATGGTCCGGCACCATCGGGAAGTTGGAGGTGCTCCGGGCAGCCAGACAATTGGAGCTGCTCTGTGCCCGGCTTCCCCGATTCAGCCGCTGCTGAAACTGACCAGCAGCTGAATTGGGGACGCTAGGGGCAGAGCAGCTGGGGTGCTGTGGGGTTGGTCCTATAGCACTGTATCCCCCCCACTCCACCCCAGACCTCTTATAGCCCCCACTTCTGATAGTCCGTCATATCTGATAATCCAGCAGCCCCTGGGTCCTAAAGGTGCCAGATTATCGGAAGTTTACTGTACCATGTACCGGCAAACCCATTCACAAACTTTGTCAGACCAGTAACATAGTATTTCCATTATGGTAATTTTAGGAGGCCTTTTGTTGTTTTACGTCACATCTGTACACACACATATGTCCTTGTAGAGATCTGCAAACTCTGATCTCTTACAACACTAAAAAAAAATTTGTTAAAAGAATCCTTTCCTTTCTTATCTTGAGCCATTAACACCTATGTAAACTTTGTGTGAAACGCAATCATGCAAATGTCATGAGTGAGGCCATTTGTTCTGTGTCTGCAGCCCACAGGGAAACAAGTTAGACACCCCAAACTCCCCTCTGTCCCCACCCCTGGAGAGAGGGAGATGCGCACAGTGAGGCCCCTCAGCCTGCATGCCCCACATGAACCAGGCAGAGGGGCTCCAGCCTACCTGATGCCCCTGAGGAAGGCAGGAGCAGTTGCAACATAAGAAGGCAGGATGCTCCCACCCACCTCCAGGACCGAAGGACATAGATGGGGCAGGCGGGAAGGTCTCACATCTCCATGGGGAGGAGCTGCTGGAGTAAAGACTTGGCCACAGGAGCAGAACTGTGGCAGCTAGCGCTCCACAGTGCAGGCAAGGCACTGCGAGCCGGCCTCTTGCTTGTTTCCGCCCCAGCAGTTCCTGCCCTCTGTTGACCTGACCAAAGGGGGTAAGGTAGCCAAGGGCCTAGCACTCCCATCAAGTCAGGGGAGAGACCAGCACAGGGACCACGGAAGGCGTGTTCACACCCACCCTGCGCACGGGCCCGTCAAGACATGGGCATGGCCTGGCAGTGTGACACAGCCTGGGAGCCAGCAGTTCATAGCCTGACACTTGTCCACAGACCGGTGGTTGGCAGAACCACTGGCATAGAGGACGTCATTGTCCAAATCTGATCTTAACTATAAAAGAGAGAGAGATACTGGAGAAAACTGACTTTAAACAAAAGCTACAGTGGTAGAAACAAATGCATTTTCTGTTTAATCATGTAGAGAAATCAATATAGAAGTTCTGATGTTACTATCATTTTCACAACAGAAGCAGAGCTATCAAAGAATTGACATGCTGACCACTGTGGAATTGAGTGACTTGGTAGATACCTTTTACTTCAAATATTTAAAAAAATCTTTCTAAGATAAAGAGAACAAAAATCATTTGCAAAGGTGTTCTGTGCAAGATGTCCTCATTTTCTAGGAAGTTAGACTAAGTTTGAAGAAAACTTTAAAGGTCATAGATCACATGAACCACACACTGACTTAGAAAATACCATGTAGCAGCATGCTTGATCTGAAAAACTGATTGAGAAAGACTAAAATAGGTTATTTTCCATAACTGAGTTACATACCTTAATGTCCTCATGCTTGCTTTCTGAAAGCTAAAAACTTGGTCTGCTATAGGTGGAAACGTCTCTATTACAATACCTCTTTAATCCAGCAACTCTGGGAAACAGGGTTTGCCCAATAAAAGATTTTTCTGGGCTAGGGAGGGGGACAGAAGTAGGGCATGTACTTGGTGCTCCACATCCCATTGCCCCCAGGCATAAGCCCTCCATGGATATTGGAGCCGTGGGGAAAAGCCTCTGGCAGGGGGCTTCACTGCAATCCTGCTCCTCCAGATGGGGAGAGAGCAGCAGCATGCAGAGCCACTTCCACCTCTGCCTACCAGGGTCCATACCATGGGTGTTCCCATTAGGGACACCCGGAATAAGGAGCTTACAATGCATAAGTTTCAGAAATCTAACTGTAGCAGAAAAGAAAAAAGCTTTGTACCTTGTCTAAAACAACTTCGCTCTTCTTCACTTCTAGAACCTTAGAAAGGTAGCGACACAGCTCTGCATTTGCCTCCCCTTCTGATGGAGGTGCAGCAATAGCTACACCTACTGCCTCAGCTGTCACATCTATAACAAATATTTTAGGATTTTTATCTTCAAAGCATTAACAGACTTTTGTAATTTATAAACAAAAGCTTATTTGAAACCAAGTAGACAACTCCTAGAACACTCCAGCTGATGATAGATCTTACGACTTCTATTGTATCAGAAACAACCACTTAATTCTACTGCCTGTTCTTTCCCTTTACAAGCAAGCCTAGTTAATTCCTCAGAAGAATGTATTAATAAGCAGTCCTTATAAACAGGGAAGAGCGAGTGATCTGATGGTCCTAAGAATTGACAAATTTCTTGTTGCAGTTATCTGTAATCCATTCTAGGAGTCTGTAGGATACAGTGAGGCATAGCCAGGCTGCAGACGCTGCATAATTTTCTTCCAAGTGTGAATGCGGGGTACTGGACCCTTCACAGCCACTTCTACTGCTATTCCTACTTCCCAACTTGAGTTCAATCTACAATTTGATTTTGAAATATTAATATTCCAGTAGCTTTTATAATTGCATTAAGCTTTGATTTTTATCATCTTTTTTGTGACAATACCTACTAATGTCCATCTAAGTAGGATAATCAGCATATGTTTTACCAAAGATAATGGACCTATCTAATGAGTGTAGTGTGTGCACTCTTTATGTAAGTATGCTTCTTGTTTGCCTATAAGCATGAAGATGATGGCCAGTCAGACTTCTATTAGTTGCTCCTTGGATTGAAGCATTTAAAGATTTTAAAAACATATTTTGAGCATTTAGTCAACATAACTAAGCATGCATCAGGCATCAAAGGTGATCTGCAAAGGAAAGTAATTTGTCTTGTATTGTTTATTTTAAAGAAAATGTGAAGCATATTTTCTGTTGTTTCTAATTCCTTGCTTTTTTCATTGCAGAAGTTCAAGTTTTGACTACTTTGGGGAACTTTCCAATTAAGATCATCATCTGGCATGCTGAATTTTACTTTATTTTTATCAGATTCTTCCTGTATGTACAGTGGGAAGGGAGGGAAAGAATGGGGGGGGGGGGAGAGAAGAGAAGGAAAGAAAGGAGAATGTGTGTGTATACCAACAACAACAAAGATCACAATGCTTGTAGTTTTTTAACAAAGCATGGTTCACTACAAAGAGATCAGGCTTGATTGAGTTTTGGGGTTTTTTTGGTTTTGTTTTTATCAGATTCTTCCTGTATGTACAGTGGGAAGGGAGGGAAAGAATGGGGGGGGGGGGAGAGAAGAGAAGGAAAGAAAGGAGAATGTGTGTGTATACCAACAACAACAAAGATCACAATGCTTGTAGTTTTTTAACAAAGCATGGTTCACTACAAAGAGATCAGGCTTGATTGAGTTTTGGGGTTTTTTTGGTTTTGTTTTGTC